GGGAACTCAGAGCTACCCCTCCTCCTGGGAGGCTGACCACAGGCAAGGAGCTGGGGACTTGTCCTCCGCAATTGTCCTTACTTATGCCACAACCTCCCTCACCATGTGGAGCTTGTAGAAGGTATGCTGTCACCAAATACTGGCTGCTGGAAAGAGCCAGGAGTGCCCCGCCAGATTCTACCTCTCTGGATGTGTTTTGTCCCCAGGCCCAGTGCAGGAGGAGGAACCCCAGTCTTGTAGCCAGGTGCTCTTGAACTGGAAGGTAATCAAGTGAGGGATCATTGAAATTCCTTGCAGGGACTGTGCAGGCCCAGAGCCCCAGCATGGTAGAATGGGAAGTGGACCCACCATAGCCATACAGCTCTAATAAGATATGGGATTGTGTCACATGTCCTGTGAGCACCCTTCTCCCCACCTCCCCATGGGATCATACTACTCAATCTTCACTCAGGCTGTACCCTACCTGTAAGTCATCCCTCTGCCTCTTCCCATTAAAACCCTGCTTGTCCTTCAACATCCGTTCCACTTTGTGTCTTCCTACCAGGACAGGCTGTCAGTCCTCTGTCATCCAGGGGGCTTGGCCCACCTGCTCTGGGTGTTCGGGGCTTATGATCTTATCTCTTCACCTGGATACAAATGCCCCAGTTCAAAGACCCAGGCCTGGACCATGTGGACCAGCAGTCAGAATCACTTGCCAGGGCCTTTGTCCTACCCAAGGGTAGGTAGTGGCAGACTTTCCGGACACTCTAAACTGAGGGCCTGGGGTTCCATCAGCACAGAGCTAGTGTGACCCAGCCAAGTAGGGAAAGCTTCCCAGGCATCTGGGTCTGCAGAAAGACAGCCCCTCCCTGAGGGCAGTAACAGTACTGTGGCTGGACACAAATGCAGGATATGGGGCCACCAGCCTGGGCTCTCCTTGTTTCTGGGCAAGAAACTCAGGAAGTACTCCCTGTCATAGGTGGAGAGGTGGAGAACTCCCCTCTTACTTTGTGGGACCTCAAAGGTCGGGAGGGGTGGGCTAGCAGAAGTGTCCTTTTTTTTCTTTTCTTTTCTTTTTTTTTTTTGAGACAAGAGTCTCACTTTATTGCCCTCAGTAGAGTGCTGTGCTGTCATAGCTCAGAGCAACCTCCAACTCTTGGGATCAAGTGATCCTCTTACATCAGTTTTTCTATTTTATTTATTTATTTTTTGAGATAGTGTCTTACTCTATCACCCTCGGTAGAGTGCTGTGGCATCATAGCTCACAGCAACCTCAAACTCTTGGGCTTAATCGATTCTCTTGCCTCAGCCTCCCGAATAGCTGGGACTATAGGCGCCTGCCACAATGCCCAGCTATTTTTGTTGTTGTTGTTGCAACTGTCATTGTTGTTTTAGTTGGTCCAGGCAGGGTTCGAACCTGCCAGCCTCCCTGTATGTGGCCGGCGCTCTACCCACTGAGATATTAGCACTGCCCAGTTTTTCTATTTTAGTACAGATAGGGTCTCGCTTTTGCTTAGGAGAGTCTCAAACTTGTGAGCTCAAGCTATCCACCTGCCTCAGCCTTCCAGAGTGCTAGGATTACAGGTGTGAGGCACTGCGCCTGACCATGCAGGTGTCTTTTATATCAAACCACACAGGACCTGGATCAGCCCAGGTCAGAGCTAGAAGGGCACCTCAGGCTGAGGGGACCACCTCAACAGAGGCAGGTCAGTTCATTTGCATGCAGGGGCCACTGGGGCAAAAGCTGTTGCTGCCACCACTACAAGCAGATTTCAGCAGAAGCTTCATTTTCCTTCTGTTCTCATCTCTCTCTCAAGGTCAGCCTGAGCAGGGGCAGGAACAAAGGCAGCTGGTCCCCCATTCAACCTCCCTGTGCTACAGGCTGCTCCTGGAGGAAGAGGCCCAGCTGGGGAGGGGAGGACAGGGTGGCCTGAGGCCCTGTTCTAGGCCAGGGTACTCCAGGAAGCTCCTGCCCCACTAGGGGGCTGCTGTGGGCATCCAAGCAGCTTTGTCTCCTCCCAGGGCTGGGGGTCATCCCAGCCTCAAAGCTTATCTGACAGGGGGTCACTCTGGAATAACTTCCTTTGGAGTCAAGGGTCCAAAGTCAGACTCACTTTGGGAGACAGGGGTTGTTCAGGGTCAGCCATTATTTAGGGTTGGCCATTAGCCCAAGGCCCATACCCGGGGCAGGGTCTTTGATGGGGGCCTGCCTCAGACTTGAAGAGGGTCATTTTCATGTGGCCTTGGCCAGATATGGCCCCCAGCCTATGCCTAGCACCTGAGTCCATCTCTTACCTCCCAGTATGTGCCTCCCCAGCCCACAGGTCAAGGCTGCAGGGCTCAGGATCAGTGCCTACAGCTTCAAAGGCTGCATTGCTGTGGAGGAAGCTAAAAATAAGCGGGGAGAAATTTCTCATTACAGAATAAATTGGACCAAATTTGCTGCCTGCTCTGGCTCTAACGGCTTTCAGAAGCCCCATCTTGAACAGGCAGGGTCCAGGTGCCAGGGGGTTGCAGTGGTGGGGCATGGAGGGCTCTGGGCATGTTGGTCCACTCCTGATGGAAGCCCCAACTGACTGCCTACATCCCCACCCATCCCCTTCTGTGGAGCATGCACCGTCTTGGAGTTGAAGAGTTTCTTCTGGGCTTTAGTTTGCTGTCCTTGAAAATAAAAACATGTCCCTTTCTCTTGCTGGTATGTTAAAATTCCCATCCTCCTGTGCAGCTGGGCCCTTGAAATCTCAGCTTGGATCTCAAGATTGTGGCAACCCCTGCGGAATAGTCTGCAAGGAACCAACAACACCCCTATCTCACCCTTCTGCCTTGCACCCCCACTTGACCCAGAGCTTGGGATCCGTGCAGGAACACTGTGTACATGTGTGCATGCATGCATCCTGAGAGGCTGTGTCTATCCCTTATGTGGGACTATGTTGCATGTCCTGTCTATGTGGTTAGGTTTTGTGCATTTGCACACGGGTTAGTGTGCATGAGGTAGAGTTGCTGGAAGGGCCCTTTCAGACTTCCATGCACAAATACATACTTTTTTTTTTTTTTTTTTTGAGGCAGAGCCTCAAGCTGTCCCCCTGGGTAGAGTGCCATGGCATTACAGCTCATAGCAACCTCCAACTCCTGGGCTCAAGCGAGTCTCCTGCCTCCGCCTCCCAAGTAGCTGGGACCACAGGCGCCCGCCACAACGCCCGGCTATTTTTTGGTTGCAGCCGTCATTGTTGTTTGGCGGGTCCGGGCTGGGGATTCGAACCCGCCACCTTAGGTGTACGTGGCTGGCGCCTTAGCCGGTTGAGCCACAGGCGCCGAGCCCACAAATACATACTTGTGCACACAAACCTTGGGTTGGCCGGGACCTGGGGCCTTTCATCTCACACTGACAGGCCCATCTCTTGGCTTTTAGCCTCAGAGAATTCCCAGCTAATGGTGCATTAACATTGGCAGGGGCTGCTAGTTACTCCCCACTGGCACTAGGGTTGCGGGTATTGCTGACTGAAGGGATGGGAACAGGCAGAGCCCACTCTCCCCACCAGAGTGGGCAGGAGGCAGCGGGGCTAGGGGATGGAATAGTGAAGTGTGAGTCTCTCCTGACCTCATTAGAGTAATTAAAGTGCCTTTTGAAGCTTGAGAAAAAGCTCAGAGCTGTAGGAGGGGGCTGAGTTATAACAGAGTAGGGGCTTGAGATGGTGTCTTCATGCCTGTGTAAAGTGTCTCCCTGTGGCTCAGACACAGACACAGGGACAGACCAAGAGAGACACATGGCAGATGGAGAGACTCAAATGGAGCTGAAGTTCAAAGGCAGAGACACCCACAGGGCCAAACAGACAGTGAAAACTACAGCCAGATCCCGAGGGCAGGGGTGCAACCCTCCAGCACATAAGACCTTCTCTCTGTGGTCTGGAGACTCTGGCTCCACTTTGGGAGCTGTGGGGGGTAGGGGAGCAGGCAGTCAAGAAGGACTTCCTGGAGGGAGTTGCCAGATGATGGTGGATCCTGGCTGTAGTGGAGCAAGCCCTGGACATGCAGGGAATGGGATAGGACGTGTTTGACAGTAGGCTTTCCCCATTCTGTGGTAGATATGGGACAGTGAGGAATGGTGCTCTATGAACCCCTTTCCTCAGGTGTATAGAGTTTGGCCCCTGGGGAGAGATCTAGTGGGTGGCGGTGTCAGACGCCAGGTGGTGTAAGGTTGCCACCTAGTGGCCACTCTTCCTTATGACAGGGCAGTATGGCTCAGGTTAGGGGCCCAGGGGTGACCATCACCTACTTTAGGTCTTGCCAAAGCCAAATTCACAGGTGGAAGGAGTGACAGGTCAGAGATGGACTCTACCCAGACAAAACAGCTTGCAGGAAAAACCAGCCCCACACCTTGTCCAGGACCAGGGCTTTGCTGATCCCACAAGAGATCAACTGGGGGGCAGGGGCCTCAGGCTCTAGGGAACTCCAGCCCCCCTACATCACAGTTCTGGAGCTCTTTTGGAACCTCCCCCCAAAGGTGCTGGTGGAGTGATTGGGGATTCCCAAGGGCATGGCCCTTGCACCCAAGGCTGAAGGTGGCATAGAGGAGCCCCAAAGCAAGGGCTTTGATAGATTAATAGTTCTTTCTGGGCCCAGAGGCAGAGTGGCAGAGTCCCAGGTAGCTAGAGACAGGTCTTTCCCTCTTCTCTACCATGTGAGATTCCTCATCTGGCTCTCTAGACAGTCAAAGCCTAGGTTGGTAATACATAGAGAAACCCATGACAGATTCAGTCCTGCTCCATTGTGTACTCTCCTCCAGCTGAGCCAAGATGACTGGGTCTAGAAGTAGCATGTGGCGAAAACCAACTACAGAAACACTGTTTATTGCTCCCAGCCCAGGGGAAGGTGCTGCTAGATAGGCCCCTTGGGTCTCCTGCCCACAGGGGACAGGGTGTGATACAAGTCATAGTCCATCAAAGGGGCCTCAGAGCCCTGGGCAGTGGCTGTCAAGGCCCCTCCAGCTTCCACTGGAATGTTAGGGAGGCCACACTGTCCAGGCAGAGAGTCAAAAAAGGCAAGCAGGCAGGTAGCAGCACAGGTTCCAACAAAACAGGTCAGGTGTGCTGGCCCCTGCAGTGGGTCCCAACTCTGTCCTTCTGCCATTGCCTCTGGAAACATCGCCTCCCCCACCTCAGCATCTACAAGGCAGGAGGTAAGACATGAGAGATGAAGTGTTGGAGTTAGTCCACCCTGCTGGGCAAATGTGGCCAGCGTGACCCACCTCAAATGGGTCTGGTGGGAGTGCTTGACCCACAGAAGGGGATACAGCCTGTCCAGACCCCTGCAATCCACCAGGGTCTGCTTCCCACAGCCTGACCCACCCTTCCCGGCTCCAGGAAGGCCTCCCCTCCACCAACCATTAGGTGGAAGAGACCATGGAGAGGTCTCACCTTGGGTAGCCCACCTATCCCTTGTTCCTGCCACCCCCAGCAGGTCAAGGTCCTCCATAGCAGCCATGGTGGAACAGCAGGGTGAGGCCCAGAACACGTGCCTGCTACCCAAAGTGCTACAGACCCTTCCCCATTCTATTTATTTATTTAGACAGTGTCTCACAGTGCTGCCCAGGCCAGGGTGCCATGGCATTAGCCTAGCTCACAGTCAACCTCCAACTCTTGGGTTCAAGCAATCCTCCCACCTCAGCCTCCTGAATAGCTTCAGTGGACTACAAGTGCCTGCCACAATACCCAGCTAATTTTTCTATATTTTTAGTAGAAATGGGGTCCCACCCCTGCTCAGGCTGGTCTTGAACTCCTAACCTCAAACAATCCTCCTGCCTCTGCCTCTCAGCACTAGGATTACAGATGAGAGCCACCTCACCCAGCCCCCTTCCCCCTTTTTTATTTATTTTCACTTAGTCACCCTGGGGTTGACACTTTGGCATCATAGCTCACAGCAACTTTAAACTCTTGTGCTTAAGTGATCCTCTTGCCTCAGCCTTCCGAACAGGTGAAGCTACCGGTGCCCACCACCACACTGGGCTAGCTTTCCTATTTTTAGTAGGGACTTGATCAGGCAATCCACCTGCCTGGCCTCCCATAGTGCTAGAATTAGAGGCTTGAGCTACTGTGCCAACCCCCTTCCCCATTTCAAAGAAGCTGTAAATGGAGGGAGAAGAGCTGAGCCTTGCCCAAGGCAGTTTGCTGATATTACAGGGATGACCCTCCCCTTCCCTAACTCTGTTGTATCTCCAGCCCAGTCCCCCAGCACAGGCCTGCCCACCAAGAGGCCCTTGGGGGTTGGGGACGGGCTGCTCACCATCTTAGATTCCTGGCCTCAAAGAGTGTCTCCTCCTCACTGTCCATTGAAGCCATCTCAGCAGGGTCCTCAGTGTTGGCCAAGAGGCCATACCTCCTCCTCTGGGGCTTCTTCAACCTGAAAGTGGATCTGAACACGCTCAGCAGCCCTTCTCTGCCCACCCTGCCCCACTCTCCTTCCCGCAAGGCCCTCTTTGTGGTCCAAACCTTGATCCCAGGACCCTGCTGCAAACCTATCTAGCGACTACTATTACTAATTTCTCCTATGGACACCTGCCCTGCAGGTCCTTCCACCTCCCCCATGCCAGGAGGGAATATTGATTTTTTTTTTTTTTTTGAGACAGAGTCTCATTTTGTTGCCCTCGGTAGAGTGGTAAAGTGCCATGGCATCACAGCTCACAGCAACCTCAAACTTTTGGGCTCAAGTGGGCTCTCTTGCCTCAGCCTCCCAAGTAGTAGGAACTACAGGGACCGCCACAACGCCTGGCTATTTTTAGAGATGAGGTCTCGCTATTGCCCAGGATGGTCTGGAACCTGTGAGCTCAAGGCAATCCACCTGCCTCGGCCTCCCAGAATTCTATGACTACAGGCGTGAGCCACCGCGCCTGGCCCATAGTACTGATGAAAACAGTGTCTCGGCTCGGCGCCTATAGCTCAACCGGCTAAGGCGCCAGCCACGTACACCTAAGGTGGC